TATATAAAAAACAAAACAATCACAGGCCTAGCCATGATTCAATGGGAGGGATTGCATATGGGTGTGAATGCTGGGAGGATGATTGCTTGGAGGCCACCAGTATAACCGATCTCCATAAGAAATGCTATGAGTTTGATTTTCCATCTCTAGATTTAGTAAATGTATGCCAGGACTCACTTCTCTCCCCACTCAGGGTTAGTTTTTTCTACATATGGTATAATCTCTATAAAGTCTTTCTTGAGAGCTTGGGAATCTTAGTGTATAGGGCTAGTCATATACCCCACCATATCCGGTAACTATCTTTAGTATGTGGTTTAATTTCCAGTCATGCAAATAAAGCCCCTGTTGATCCACCTCCTCCATTTTTACCTCACTGGGTTGTGTGGGGGATTCAATAAAATCACTTCTGTAAATTGCCTGGCACTACATGTTAGTAAATGCTCAATAATGGCAATTGTTATTATTTTATTATTACCAGGGTCCCTAAGGTATTGAGCTGGCCTTGGTAAAAATGTAATGAGATGACTTTGAGAAGTCACAGTTCCCCAGGGCACCTGAGTGATTAATATCCAAGAAAGTGGGTGGAATTGTTAACCTGAGATAATGGGGACAGAACAGATTATCAGCCGCCCACAACACACAAGATAAAAAGAGAATCAACAAGTGCAATTGCAGGAAGTATCAGAAAAACAACAATAACAAGAAGAAAAAGTAGAAATAATCTGAGGTCAGGTAATTAGGGAAAGGAATTTGGAAGAGTGATGTTAGAACAAAAGGAAAAATAATTTATTTCTTAGTCAGCAAAAGGCCCTGCACAGGCGATATGGCCAAGCTAACAGAGAGATTAAGGGGGGGCGGAGGGAGGGGCGGGGTAGGAGATGAGGAGCTGCCAGTGTCCAGCTTGCAAGGAAGACAGAGTCAGGTACCAACTGACTGAGACACAAGTGGGACCTACATTCACTTTGGAGTAGAATGAACCTTGCAGCACAACTAATTATAGATGAACCAGACAGCAGAGGACAAAGGACAAAGACAGCTCTTGGGAAGTAATAAATCAACCTATCCAGAGTGAAGAAACCAAGCCAATCAAACAGCTTTGGTCTCATCATGATTATGGTGTTAGCATTTAGTCAGTTTATAATTCACTGTCTACAAACCTTCTTTTCCCACATCTGTTCCTCTAGTTTTCCCCTTATTTCTCCTGGAGGGTGGGGAGGGGAGCAATAATCTGAGAATAAAGAGATTAGTAAAATGTAAGTAAGATCATGGGGGTCAAAGCATTGTGTAAACTTTTAAGTGCTCAACAAATGTAAAATGCTGATAAAGGCGCTAAAGAAAAAAAGTGAAATGCTATTGTTTTTAAGGAAAGCAGATTCAAGCATTGCCCAGTGGGAGGGGTGTTGGAGCCCATGGCTGAGTTGAGCAGTTTTAAAGCTAATTGTTGTCCTTGTGAGCTCTCACCCATGGCTCTGACCCTCACCTCTGTCCCATCCCCCAACAGGTCATTTACCTTTAAACCAGGTTTGTGAACTGAAGCTGTAAGGAATGAGTATTTAACCATTGTATTAAATTAATGAACAACTATCTAGGTATAGATCATTCAGAAAGGATAATCATCTTCTAGCTTCATCTGTATCAGAGACAAGGATTTCTGAACAGAAGGAATACAATTTATGGGGAAATACTTTGGTAGTAGGCTGAAAGGAGGGAGGGCAGTCATAGGAATAATTCTTAAGTTAATTTTATCATGAACACAGCAGGAGGAGCTGTAAAGGCTTTTGGTGTTAAAATAGCCTGAAGGTACAAAGCCATAAAAATGTATCAGAAAAGATGTTTGAGTCTCTCTATAAGATTCAATATAATTTTCATTTATTCTTTCATTCAGCAAGTATTGATTGAGTTCTTGTATACGTGGTATTGTCTGCCTTCATGAAATGGATTGTGGAAGGTGAGACAGACAATAAAATAATAAATAAACAAAATGCAAATAAATTTCAGGGAATCGTAAATTCTATGAAGAAAATTAAATTGGGGAAGGGGTTGGAGAATGGTTGTGTATTCAGAGTATCTCCCCTGCCCCTGCACTTAGCACAGTGAGGGGCCATAAATAACAAATAAATAAATGAAGAAATGACTGCCCCCTTCCAAGTTCAAGCCTTCACTTCCACATGCCTACTTTATTGTCAGTCACCTTCTAATGCAGCGGTTCTCAACCTGTGGGTCACGAACAATGAAAATACATCCTGCATATCAGATATTTACATTACGATTCATAACAGTAGCAAAATTACAGTTATGAAGTAGCAATGAAAATAATTTTATGGTTGGGGGTCACCACAACATGAGGAACTGTATTAAAGGGTCACGGCATTAGGAAGGTTGAGAACCACTGTTCTAATGGGTCATTCTGAGTTCATTCTCTCTTGTTTTCAGGTTTAAAATGCTGCTTTTATCGTGTCACTTTTCTACTCCAAAACCTTCAGTGACTTCCGATTGCCTTTTTCTTTTTTAAGTAAGGCTTAAGGAAAATAGTATGCTTATCTGTCACTAAATCTTATTGACTAATATAATTTCTCCCCTGTGTCTTACTGAAGACATGCAGTGTCCTTTTAACATCTTTATTAACATGAACAACTTGGAAGAAGGTAATCAACAGTAAACTATTTATGTCACTCAAAATCTTTGAACTATGGAATCAGTAAACTTTAGCACTGAGAATGCCCTTGGAATCGTTCTCAACTAATTCCTTCATTTCACAAATGAGAAAACTGAGAGCAAGCAGGTAAATTGCTCAGGTACTGATACCTAGCCAAGTGAAGTCTGTCATAACTAGAACTCAGCTCTTCTGATTCCCACTGCACTACGTTATATACATACATACAGTTTTACGTAGTTTAATCGGAGTATATATGCCATTTTGTGTCTCTTCTTTTCTGCTTACATTACTCTTGTGGACAGAGGCTTAGAAAAGTTAGGTCATACAGCTAGCAAATTCAGGATACAAATCTTTAATGCCAAAGTTTATACACCACACTGCCTCTGTTTGGCAAGTCACTGAGGGAGAGGGCAGTACTTTACCTTTAGAATAGTCTTACAGAGGAGAACTATATAAAGGTTGAGATTGTCCCTGTGAAAAGAATATAAGTCCTTTTAGTAATTGAAATGTATATTACAATGATTAAACAGTTTAGCTCAACAATTCTAACTTTTCACCCAACAGGAGACAACCTTCAATGACTCCCTACTGCCTACAGGATAGAGTTCAAATACTTTGCCCTATATGATTCATCCTCTATCCTCTTATATACCAGATTTTCTACTGCTTTCCTTCACATACTCATAGTTTCTAATGCATGGCTTATGCATGCTAGCTATTAGGTGCATATAAAAACAACCCGAAAACAGGTCAAAAAAGTTTTGGAAATGCTGCATACTGTAGATTCCTCAGAGATTTACATATTAGTATACTAAAAGCTCTGAGAAGTCCTACAGTAAAGAAATTTTTTTTTCTCACAAACAATAGCTTTTTCCACACAAGACTTACATGAGTCAGGATCCAGAACAGAAAATAGCACCTATGCCAGGGAATATAATATGAGACACTAGTTTTAAATTTTTTGGAGGAATTAAAAAGGTAGGATGGTGAGACAACCCAGAAGTGAGAAATATGAAGGAGATGCTACCCTAGGGCTCTAGGACTAGAGGAGGCAGTGTTGTCTAGTTGTGGTAACATATTTTTGGCGGTAAGCTCTCCAGCTACTGTTAAGCCTTGAGATAACTCCAGCTCTGGCTGACATCTTGACTGCAACCTCATGAGAAATCTTGTACCAGAGTCCTCTCACTAAGCCAGGTCTTAGATTCCTGATCCTCAGAAACTGTGTGAGAAAATAAATATTTGTTGTTGTAAACTGATAAGTTTCAGAATAATGTGACCCACAGCAATAGATAACTAATATAGGTGTTGGTACCTGGAAGTGGGATTCTGCTGTAACAAAAATCCTAAAATGGGCAGTGGGCTTTGGGGAGAGTGTTGGTGAAAGTCTAAAATACTCTGAATAAACTGTTAATAGAAGTATCTTGACCTTTAATATTGCTGCAGGTGAAGGTTTGCAAGAAAATGAGGTCATGTTATTGGAAACTGGAGGAAAGGGGATCCTTATTATACAGTAGCAGAAAGTTTAGCAACACTGTTGCCTGCAGTAACTGAAAGGTAGAAAATGTATCTAATGAACTGGGTGATCTAGCTATGGAGATTTTCAAGCAAAGGTTTCTTCTTGTTGCTTATAGTAAAACGTGAGAGGAGAGAGGTAAACTAAAGGGAGAACTGTAAAACAAAACGGAGACATAATTTTCTGGGTTTGAAAATTCTCAGCCTCTCCAAATGGCAAACAATGCTAAAATTAAGATATAAATTCTGAGCAAAGATCACATCCAGGGTACTGACGATAAAACATTGTCCAGCCCACCCAGCCAGCGTGGTTCAGTGGTTGAGCGTCGACCTATGAACAGAGGTCCTGGTTCAATTCCCGGTCAGGGCACATGCCCTGGTTTTGGGCTTGATTCCCAGTGGGGGGTGTGCAGGAGGCAGCCGATGGATGGTTCTCTCTCATCATTGATGTTTCTATCTCTCTCTCCTTCTCCCTTCCTCTCTGAAATCAATTTTTTAAAAAATTGTCCAGCCCTAGCTGGTTTGGCTCAGTGAACTGAAGGGTCCCCGGTTCAATCCCAGTCAAGGGTACATGCCCATGTTGTGGGCTTGATCCCTAGAACATGGCTCTGAGAACCAGGAAAATTATTCCCAGGCCTTGCGACTTAATCAAGAAACTTTCAATGTTTGCTCAGCTGGGTTTCAGAAATAAATGGGCCAGTGACTCCTTTGTGCCTGCTATTTCCCCTCTTTTTGCACGGGAATGTCTATAGCAGTTACCCTGTTACTATCTCACCATTGTATGTTGGGTGCATGGAGGGACAAATAGTTTTGTTTTTTTTTCCAGGGGGAGAGAAACTGTACTCAAAGAGCTATACTGAAGGAAGTCAACTGCACCTGCACCTGATTTCGATGATGAGATGCTGGACTTCATGAGATGAGACTTCTGGTGACTTTGGGAGGAAGTGAGTGTATTTTGCATATGGGAGAGATATGAATCACGGGATCAGAGGAAGGACTGTGGTAGCCAGCCTCCAAGAGAGCCCTCAGTTATCCTTGCCTCTTGGTATTCACACCCTTGTGTAGGCTCCTCCCACAAGTAGCACAGTTGGTCTGAATGACCAACAGCATGTGGCAGAAGTGACAGTATGTTATTTGTGAAGATTAGGTTATTAAAAAGGCTGCAGCTTCCATTCTGGTATCTCTATCTCTGTTTCTATCTCTAGCTCTATCTCTTGAATAACCCCCTGTTGGAGAAGCAAGCTGCCATGTTGAATGCACCTCTAAGGAGAAGACCACCAGGCAGAATACTTACGTCTCAGGCCAGCTAGGAACTGTGTTCTGCCAACAACCATGTGAGTGAATGTGGAAGTGAATTCTTCAGCTCTACTCTGGCCTTGAGATGACTGCAGCTCCAGCCAATATCTTGACTGTAACCTCATGAGAGGCCCTGAGCCAGAACCACCTGGCTAAGCCACTCTCAGATTACTAAACCTCAGGAACTGTGTGAGATAATAAAATTTTTGTTGTTTTAAGCTGTGAAGTTTCAAGGTAATTTATTATGCGGCAATAGATGATAAAGACACCAGCCTAAGAGCTAGGATCGCCCAGCAGAGGGGGACTTGTCTGGCTTACAGTTGGAGCCACAAAGAAGATGCAGCCATTACTGGAGATACTGCCTGAAGCAAGGGAGAAGGAAAGACCTCCATGGTCCCTCGTTTGCTTCCCTTGCCTCCATGGGCCAAACCAAACCATAGGAGAGCCTGAGAAATGTCCTTTGCAAGAGCAACCTCTTGCAGTACAGAACAGGGCAGAGGGAGAGAAGGAAATTAATCTAAGAACAAATAGGCAAATTACCAGTACAACCAAGAATCCTTAAATTAATCTAAGAACAAATAGGCAAATTACCAGTACAGCCAAGAATCCTTTTACATGTGGAATTCCAGTAACATCCTTCAGAACCTTATCCTCAAACTCCACTTCAGGAAACAGTGGCCTACAACTACTCTTCTCCAAATCTCTGCAAGTCCAAATCTTATACATCAATTATTATACACTTTTTAAAAATATATATATTTTATTGATTTTTTACAGAGAGGAAGGGGGAGGGATAGTTAGAAACATCAATGAGAGAGAAACATTGATCAGCTGCCTCCTGCACACCCCCCACTGAGGTTGTGCCCACAACCAAGGTACATGCCCTTGACTGGAATCGAACCTGGGACCTTTCAGTCCCCAGGACAATGCTCTATCCACTGAGCCAAACCGGTTAGGGCAATTATTATACACTTTAAATGCAAAAGTTTTTCTCCACTAACTTTTTGGTCTTTGTTACCTGGGTTAGCACCATTGTCTTCAGTTCACAGCATTTGACTCATACCCATTTTAGGCATTTTCAACATAACATCGTAATCTAGTGCATGTCTTATTGTCTGAGAACTAATAGCTTCTTGAGGGTCAGATCTGTTTCTGAGTCACTGTTGTGTATTGCCTCATCATCATAGCACCTAGCACAGGATCTTGTTCATATTAAATACCAGTAGGTATGAAGTGAGTGAATGGATGTCAAAGCCAGTGGTACAAATGGTATACAACTCTGTTGCCTTCCTCTGTATTACTATTGACTCCTTTATATACTCATGGTAGAACCAAGAGATTCTAGAGTAATCTTCCTATTTTCTTGGCTGGTCACATATTTTGAACGCCTTTGAACCTGTTCTTGGGGGAAGAGAACAATAAAATTGCAAACTGGTTTGTGTGCAGGGATAATTGTCCTGTGAGACCAAAGTCCTCTGGGAACTTTTTAGCAGGAGGTGTAGGTTCAAAGAGCTGCACTGGTCTCCTCTGCCAGCTTTGGCTACTCTGAAAAAAATCGTCTGCTCAGTAAGAAAGGAATGCTCAGCATTTTGCAAAAGCGATTTCCTCTACTTCCCTATCTTCCTTGCTAATGCCTTGATAGAGGGAATAAATTCAAAACAGAAAGGAGGTTTTTAGATCAGCTCCTCTTAATTAGTTCAGGCCTCTTCACTTCCTGCCGGGATTACCACAGGGCCCCCAACGAGTCTCCTGGCATCTTGTTTCTAAAAACAAATCTTAGCTGGGCACTCTCATGTTTAAAGTTTTTCTCAATGGGTGCGCACTCTCTTCTGGATGAAATCCAAATCTTCATGATTTGGCCTTGGGGTTACTTTTTTAGCCAAATCTTTTATTATTGACACCAAGCTTTTCAGTTCTACCCTTCCTTCTGGCCCTCTCCCTCCCCTCTCAACTGAATCTTCTAAGTCAACCCAATTCATTCTTCAAGATTTAGTTTCAACTCTCTCTCCAGGAAGTTTCTCTGGAGCCCCTCACCATAGGTTAGGCTCCCTTAGCACGCTTTACAGACATCTTTGGCCTTGAGCAAGTTGCTCTCTACACCTCAGCATCCCAATCTGGAAAATTGGGATAATATAGTATTTACCTCTGAAGCTTATGGCAGCGATGATAATTGATGCAAAGTGCCTGACATATATTAAATGTTACATATTAGGTATTAAATCATAGCACTTAATTCAATATCTTCATTATGTTTGACCCAGAGTGGTCAAATGACCAGCTCAAGTAGAATAAAATTAGGGGGAGGGGGACATCTGATTTGCTTAAGGTTTACAAACCAAATTTCAAAGTGAGGAAGTTAGGGGAAATTGACTTCAAATTTAATTTTTAAAATAAAATATTTATCAAGAAATAAACTTGATGTTGAGAGTAGATGCTACACGACTAAGAAAAATGCACGTCAGGGCAACTTTCAAGTCAATTCAGGATATTTGATGCTTAGGGCTGAAATGTTTTCTTATTTGTCCCAACTTGCTAATTTACTTGGTTTATTTCTATATTCAACAAAGTAGTGTCTGTACATTCACTAAACAAAATGGCTTGCAACTCCTCAGCCTTTTTTTCTCTATTGAATTAAGTACAGCATCAAGCCATTAAGGTGACCTTAAAGAAAATCAATATCGTCCCCAGGCTCACGACCACTCACTCCACAGCTTAATTGGTCCTTAGCCTTCAGCTTTCGACTCTAGACTTGTATTATCTAACACAGTTGCCACTAGCCACATGTGGCTATAGGGTACTTGAAATACGGTTGACCCAAATTGGAAATGTTCTATAAGTAAACATACAGATTTTAAAGGTTTAGTTAAAAAAAAAAAAGGCAAACTATCTCAATAATGTTTTATATGGTCCTCATGTGAAATGATGTTTCTGTTATATTGGAATAAATATGATATATAATTAAAATTAACTTCACCTATTTTAAAAATATTTTTTAATGTGGTTACCAAGAAACTTTAAATTATTTCTTTAGCTCTCATTATATTTCTACTGGACAGTGCTGCTGTAGACCCCGGGACTTTTCAGAACCAGGTGGGGAGCGTTAGTCTTCCTGGACGTTCTCTGTCTCAGGTGATGTAGCTGTGTCACCCTTCTTGGAAGGTAGGTGCCCCCCTATCGCATTCAGCATGGAATCCTAAAGAGGCTGAAGGAGTTAAAGAACAGTTTGAGATCACTGAGCAAATCCATATTTCAAAGAGTTGAGGATAATAGGTGATTATTGACCCAAAGCAACATCTAAGATTCACCTTAACTTGGCTATTCTATGTTACTTGGATTATCTCTTTTAATTGTCGCGACAACTCTAACATTTAGGTGCTATTATTACATACACATTGTACAAATGAGTAAAGGGAAGTTAGGGAGCTGGCAGGCGTGGTGTTTTGACTCCAGTTGGTCCAACCATCCAATGGTATATCTAGCAAGATTATGAGCTTCCTGTGTGTCCTATGCCTTGTCCATACATGACCTGACACATACTAGATGGCCAGTAAATATGTGTAGTAGCATATATATATATAGTACAACTTCAACCATGTAGGGATATATATGGAAAAGTCTGGAAAGAAATACATCAAAATGTTAAAAGGTGGTGATGTTTATGTGTGTGTGTTTTGTAATGTACATTTTAAAAAACTATCTTTACACTTTTCTGTATCTTCCAAACTTTTGACAATGTGCATATGCTGTTTTGATTTATTTCCATTACTCATTCAAAATGTCATTGAAAGAGAAGGTAGGTGGTTACTGACGCGTTCTGTGTTGCTGACTTTGTTCTCTCCTCTGCTCCTCACCCCCACCCCCCAGCATGTTCCATTCCCCTCACAGTTGGGGTCCCTCTCCTCCACTTGGCTGCTCCATTCTCTGTCTCAATCTCTCCTGCTTTTTCACCTCTCTCTCTCTCTTTTTCCCTCTGTCTCTCTCTGACCTGTTCCTTTCTGTGACCCTCTCATATTTTTCCTCTGGATCTTCCTCCCTTCTTGTCTCCTATCTCCCTCTTCTCTTTGAGAAGATTGACATTCACATGAAAGGTCAATCAAATGTTACTTTGCACCTGGTAGGTTTTAGGCAGATTCTACCTGCCTCTGGAGTCCTGAAAAAGTGCTCAAGTTGGGGGAGGGGGCAATGGAGAGCAGACTTCTAAAGAGGATGCTATGTATTGGACAAAATGAGAGGTGAGAGAGGACATTTCAGAGTGACAAAAGCAGTGAGAACAAAGGTGTGCGGGTTCTCCCCGGGAAAGTGAGCAGAGGCTCTTACCTTGTTGGGTGTGGGGATTGCTGTCTCCGGGTGCTGGCACTCACTTAGAAGGATTCGGACCTTAGTTGATTTGAGCTCCTGGATTGAATTAGTCCTGGTTGTATAATTGACTTTGATATGTGGCCTTTAGATCTGAATTGGGTTTAATAAGATTTAACTGCTTCAAAGGGCTTTATAAGAATTCATTTTAGCCTTTAAATCTGATTTCAAATGCTACCTATTTTGAGACGCCTTCTCTGACTTTGATGCTCCTCCTCCAGCGCTCTTATTGTGCCATAGTTGATACATACCTTATTCAGGCAATTATTTCCATCGTATTTTATCGTACGCTGTGGGGAATGGTTCCTTTATTGCCTCTCTTCAGGAATCTTGAGGGACAGGCAAGTATCTTATTCATATTTGCATCCTAGGCCTAGCACAGAGCAGCAGCACAATCAGTTGAGCACACAGTGCTGAATAAAGATTTTAAAAGTATATTAATAGCTAACATTTATTAAGCACAGTGGCAAGCCCTATACTTACACTGTTTCAGTCACTGGACACTTTAGGAGAAAAGTACTTTTATTATCCCCATTTTACAATGAGAAAACTGAGAGTAAGAGAAATTTATTTGAGAAAAAAATTTATTTGATCTAAAGTCAAATTTGATCCAAGATCAACTAGTAAGTAGAAGAACTTTTTCTACAGGCTTTTGGCTTCAAGATCTGGGCTCTTAGCCACCCTAGATGAATGAATGGATGGATGAGAAATGCTTTTCATACTGTGGCTGAAGACGTGACATTTATTTTACAGAGGCAGTTATAATTTAAAATTATGGTAAGTCCTACCTCACTGATGTTTCTAACTTTTTGAATCACCTTTCCTCTCCCCCCTCTCCCTCCCCCCCTCCCCTTTCTTTCCT